CGTGGGGTTTTGCTGCCAATCCAAGCGATTTCACTTGTTTGAGAATAGTGGTTTCAGCCAATACTGAGGAGGTTATTCAAGCCAGACCTGGCCAGCCGCGCAGGTTTGCTGCATTCATATGCTAATTAGGGCCATTAGTACAGCTGATCGCTCTCCACATACGTCAGAGTCCGTTCCCGACAATTTGTGGCACTGACAAACGGCGACAAGCGCGGTTTGCAAATTGTCGTTAACTGACGAAAATCAGGGAGATCTGCGGGAGTTTACGGGGACGAAAATCTCACTTTTCATGCAGTGTTGATGTAAGAAAATGACTTACACTGGGGTCTGCCTGAGCAGATGAAGACTTAGCTCAGCTTGATCAATGCTTTTTGCTGTCTTTCTAATTAATTTAACAGCACACAATTTGAATACTTAAGACACAAGAGAGCTTTGACCTTTATTTCCAAATATGTCAATAAATTACTAAATAAATGCATGAAATAGGAAAGAGGAAGAAAGCAAAGTAACATAAGCCCGTCCTGATAAAGCAGAACACTGTAAATTCATACTCTTGATACCAAGACAAACTAACATGAATGAGATTTCATAGAAAGCTATATAATTAATAATGTGAGGGAACCAACATAAATAACATGCTAGCAAACAGAGTTACTGCAGCCTGAAACACTCCAGTGAGGGATTTTAACCTTGGTCCAGTGTTGTTTACGTCAAGGATGAAGATGACAAAATAATTTCGTTGACGCTAATTCTTTTCATCACAATAATGAAAACTGGCAAACTAAACATGGATCTTTAATAAATAAAACAAGAGTAGTTTGAGGTTTAGTCGACGAGAGGCAAGACTAAATAAAAAATAGTGGGTAGTCGGCCAGACATTTAAACTGCATCATTGAGCTGTAATCAGCAAAGCAGTACCACCCGTGTTGCTGCATCTTAATTGATCCTGCTGCCCACCTGCTGCGCAGCGATACACATGCTGCAGTAGCATAGATAGATCATGGCAGCAGCGGCGGAAGGTTCTGAGAAAATAACCGGGATTGGTCCGGTACTGCTCGCTCAGCTCTGAGAAACTGCTTTGCTCTGCCAGCTGTGCTTGTGCAGATATGCGTCTTTGCGCACCGAGCTGCAAGTCTGCACTTCACACTCCAGACTGATGCTCTCAGCAGTATGGCTCTTCCATTGCTACTTAATAAACTATGTGGCTGATCATCCTCTGCCAAAAATAAAAAAATCTTTTATCTAGAGGTGATACCAAACATTCTTTAAGGAATCCCTAAATTATATCCAAATAAAATGTTTGATTACATACTGTTTATTTTAGGATAAAGAGCCAGGTAAAAAGGTACATAGATCTTTGAATATTTCTCTCTGATTTTTCTCCTTTTTATCTATTCAAATAAAATGTAAATGTTTCCTTGTATTGTCATTAAAACAACTTCTGTGTTTCCTTTCAATACTTCAAAATTTTAGTTAGCATATTCATTCAGTTTAGGTCTGGATTCCCATGGCAGTACAAGGCAATTATGTACACTCACTGGCCACTTTATTAGGTACCCCATGCCAGTAACGGGTTGGACCCCCTTTTGCTTTCAGAACTGCCTCAATTCTTGGTGGCATAGATTCAACAAGGTGCTGGAAGCATTCCTCAGGGAGTTTGGTCCATATTGACATGATGGCATCACACAGTTGCCGCAGATTTGTCGGCTGCACATCCATGATGCGAATCTCCCGTTCCACCACATCCCAAAGATGCTCTATTGGATTGAGATCTGGTGACTGTGGAGGCCATTTGAGTACAGTGAACTCATTGTCATGTTCAAGAAACCAGTCTGAGATGATTCCAGCTTTATGACATGGCGCATTATCCTGCTGAAAGTAGCCATCAGAAGTTGGGTACATTGTGGTCATAAAGGGATGGACATGGTCAGCAACAATACTCAGGTAGGCTGTGGCGTTGCAACGATGCTCAATTGGTCCCAAGGGGCCCAAAGAGTGCCAAGAAAATATTCCCCACACCCTGACACCACCACCACCAGCCTGAACCATTGATACAAGGCAGGATGGATCCATGCTTTCATGTTGTAGACGCCAAATTCTGACCCTACCATCCGAATGTCGCAGCAGAAATTGAGACTCATCAGACCAGGCAATGTTTTTCCAATCTTCTATTGTCCAATTTCGATGAGCTTGTGCAAATTGTAGCCTCAGTTTCCTGTTCTTAGCTGAAAGGAGTGGCACCCGGTGTGGTCTTCTGCTGCTGTAGCCCATCTGCCTCAAAGTTCGACGTACTGTGCGTTCAGAGATGCTCTTCTGCCCACCTTGGTTGTAACGGGTGGTTATTTGAGTCACTGTTGCCCTTCTATCAGCTCGAACCAGTCTAGCCATTCTCCTCTGACCTCTGGCATCAACAAGGCATTTCCGCCCACAGAACTGCCGCTCACTGGATGTTTTTTCTTTTTCGGACCATTCTCTGTAAACCCTAGAGATGGTTGTGCGTGAAAATCCCAGTAGATCAGCAGTTTCTGAAATACTCAGACCAGCCCTTCTGGCACCAACAATCATGCCACGTTCAAAGTCACTCAAATCACCTTTCTTCCCCATACTGATGCTCGGTTTGAACTGCAGGAGATTGTCTTGACCATGTCTACATGCCTAAATGCACTGAGTTGCCGTCATGTGATTGGCTGCTTAGAAATTAAGTGTTAACGAGCAGTTGGACAGGTGTACCTAATAAAGTGGCCGGTGAGTGTATGTTCTCTTTGTATTTTTTTTTATTTATTTATTTGTTTTTATTTTTTTTACATCAAAACCATGTGAATTAAAATCTACTTTGACCCCAAAAGCCAAAATTGCCAAAGTAGGAAGAAGAATGTTTTTGTTATTTGCTTTTTTGGAGCAATGAAGATTTTATCGATCTGTGTGTAATGCATAATTCATAGTATATCAGGAAGTGTTTGGGATGGAAACCTTGCATGCCTAAAACAATACCTTTATTGTACATTTTGTTAGCAAGCCAAACTGCCTTGGTCCAGATAATTATATCTTTTTCAGAGCCACAAATGTTACACCAAGATTGGAAAATTGTTGTCATTTTTACAATCATTTCATCATTTATGTTTTCAAATAAAGAAAAACGTTTAAAAATATGCAGAGTATGAATATATTTTCTTCTATGCGATTTTTGTCTTAATGGAAGTTTTTGTAAAATTACGCACAATGCTGTGTAATTAATGTTAAACATACTTTTAGCGACATATTTTTAGTCACATTTAAAGTATTTCTTTATGGAAAAACTGCTAGAAGGAATCAGGTGATATAAAGCAAGGTGTTTGGGAGTTGTGCATTTTTTTTTAAGTAGTACTAATATTTTCATGTTGTTGCCTAATATTGCTATGAAATTTTATTGTATAATAGTAAATACAGCCTTTTTTCTGCAGTTTCTTGTTGACGTGCAGTTTGCACATAATTGCTTCTTTATTCTGTGAATCTTCACAGAGGAACAAAAAATTGCAAAAAGCAGTTCACTTACCTTTAAACCTTTAAATCCTATTGACCAAGAAGCTGAGAAATAGCTATTTATGCTGCAAAATAATAAGCTATAAAAATGTATAATACTCTGCTTAAAACCAATGCTAACTCTTGCTGACCATTTTTACATACTGTTGCTCTATGATGTGCATTAAAAAGACACATAATCAGAAAGATTAAACATTGAAGTCTAATAATCAGATTTTCTCTTGCCAGGGGTAACTTACGCAAAGATGGAGTTGTTGAATATTCTGGACAGGGCGAAATTAATATGGCCAACAACATGATTGAGGTGCTCACGGGACTCGAACCTCAGGGTGTAACCAGACTTGTCTGTGTCTATAATAACCTGCACACAAAATATAAGACATGCAATAAAACTCTTCTTCTGTCTTTTCAGATTCAGGTCTATGTTTGTAATTTTTCTCTGCCTATAGCACCTTAGCAATCCCTAATGGACAGCAGGTTCCTGATGTATCCTACTTTTTAAAGTCGTCCTTGTCTTCAACTCAGTTCTGACAAACCAAAACATGTTAATTACTTATTATTTTACAAGTCAATATGGAAATGTTATAATACTTTTAACAAGCTTTACAGTGTGCTACACTGCGCTGCATGTCAAAACAGATATTAGGCTTCTTGCCGCCTCCTGAGTGAAGCCTAAAAATAAACGATCAGGCACTCAGCCTCAAAGCGAGTGAAAAGGGAGCAAAGTGAAAGTTTCAGGAACAAAATGTTCTGTTCTAAATGAAAGAATATCATTAACTTTGGATGAAAATGCAGAAATAAAAAAAAAATCCATCATATTCATTGACAAAAATGCAATGAAGTCTCTCTTTTCTAGATAACAAATAAAGAACTGCCTTTAAGGCCAGAGGGACATAAGAGTCCTAAGACAGACACAAACAGCAGTACAGCATTTGTGGCAATGTGAGCAGAAGGCAGAGTTAGGTACACTAACCTGGTGATCAGGGTGGGAATTCAAAGCTTGAATCTCCAAGAAGTTGAATGTAATTTCTACCTGTTGGGTCAAAGAAGTATTTAAAAAACACTAATGACTTTAGCTGGATATAAAAGAAAAAAAAAAACTCACACAGAGCATTTACTTGAGAAAGCTTATAAGTAGTACCTTAGCAGGAATCTTTGGAGCCAGGAAATAAAGACGCCATGTTGCAAGGACCTTGCAAAAAAAAAGAAAGTCAAATTGAATGGAGATTGCGGAAAGGTTCACTGCACATTCACACTCCCCACAGGGAAGAAACGGTCCAAGGAGTTTCCATGGTAATGATAGGAGGTATATACTCCTGTATTGATCCAGCTAAAAAATCTCAGTGTTAGTGACACATAATTTCTTGCAATGCTAGCTAAAAAAACAGGCATGCCTTGCAGCATTTTAAATACATTTCTAGACATGGTGGAATTGGGTTAGTGTAACATTAATTATTAAAAGTACAGGGTCACTCTATCATATAAACAGATCAATGTTAATAACATGTCTTTCTTAACAAAGGCTTTCATATATTGTGAATTCACTGCTTGAATCTATAATAGTTCTAATTCTAAATCCTAGGAGCCCCATAACAAGTGTTATAAGTCTGTTGATACATTTCACAATTCTTAAAGGAGAGCATTTGTGAAGTCATATAGTGATGCTGAACCTGGCTGCCATTTTTTACTGTAGTTTATCTCAAATGTACTGCATTCAGTCGACGTCATCACTGCTGAACATTGACATAATTTTTTGGTGGGACAGATGGGACATGTCCCCTGGACTTTTTCAAACGTCTGTTTTGTTCCCCTGCACTTTTTACTGTCCAAAAAAAAAGTTACGATACAGTCAATTCGTTGAGCACTAAAACCAAGCGGAAAACCTCAGCTTAAGCTGAAGCCCACTTCACTGAATTTAGACCGCCCACAAGCTCCTGATTAGCCCTCCGTCTTTTCTGGTGTCATTGGCTGTCACAAAAATCTCACTTTACAAACATCTGATACGCCACTGAATCGGGTCCCCAATTGGATGGTCAAACATCCTTAAGTTAGTTATATTAAAAGATATTTGCGTTCCCCCACTTCTGAAATCAAAATGTCATCCATGTTGAATAATCAAGTTAATCCACACAACACTAACTTATCCATATATTTATTGTTGTTTATGCTCTGGTTTCATATTCTTATAAGAAATAAGATTGATTCTATTGAAAAATATGCTGATGAAGATTCTCAGTCATCCAGATAATAGTCATTCCGTAAAAGTTTAAAAACAATCCACTGGACTGGGTTTCCAAAGTTTGAAGACGTTTCGCTTCCCCTCCAGGAAGCTTTCTCAATTCAAATGTGTGGATCCGCAGTGAGTTGAGGCTTTATATAGACATGGCCTTGTGTTGCTTGGACACATGCAAATTGAAACCGACGAGTGGGTCGTTTGGTTCCATTGTTAGCCTGAATTATCTGAAACCTGTCTATGATTCTCGTTGAGGGAGGGATTGTTCTGTTTTATTATTTTATTTTTGTATGGGTTGGTTGGATCGCTTTTCAAGGATTAATATGTGGTAGTGTCGTTCAGTAGAGTGATAATTTTGTCTTGGTAGTCTGAGGTTTTGAGGACCATGGTGCATCTTCCTTTGTCTGCTGGTAATATGGTGATGCTTTGGTCCTGGCTCAGGGATGTTATGGCTTTCATTTCCTGTGGTGGGAGGTTGGAAGGAGGTGGTTTGGCACTGGACAGGGTAGCTGTTACCTTCATTCTGAGTTGCTCTGCCTCTATTTCAGCCAGGTTTTTGTTCCTGATGGCAGATTTAGTGGCAGTGATCAGTTGCACAAAGGGTATTTCGTGTGAAGAAATGGCAAAATTCAGGCCTTTATTCAGTTCATCCATCTCTGGTTTTGTCAGTGGTCTGGTAGACAGGTTTTTGACCCACTTGTACTGGACCTTGATGTTGGAGTCTTCTTCCTGAGTCATGTTGCTCTCTTGTTTAAACACTGCTTTCTGTTGTGATTTTTTGAATTTAGCTTTTTGTCTTTCTTTTGTTTTTTTGATGTTGTAAAAGCTTGACCTTAGTAAGAAACATGACAACTTCTTAAAATAATAGACCATCTCAAACAACTCGAAAAAGACAAGGTATTAACAGTACAACCTATTTTAGATTATATCCAGGGGAGGGAATTCCATGCTTATATGGACTCCCAAAAATTCACAAGGAAGGAACACCACTCAGGCCCATTGTCAGCAGCATTAACTCAGTAATATACAACATTGCTAAACTGCTTACTAATATCTTAGTCCCCTTGGTGGGAAACACTCCACATCACATAGAAAACTCCAAAGACGTTGCTAACAAAGTCAAACATTTAAGGATGGCACCAGGAGAAACCCTGTTTGATGTTGCTTCCATTTTCACATGCATACCTATTAGGGGTGGAACGGTTCACAAAATCCACGGTTCGGTTCAAATCAAGGTTTCGTGGTAACGGTTTTCGGTTCGATTCGGTATATGTTGATTGTTACACCGAAATCCCATAAAAATTTATGAAATTAATGAAAAAATCCCCCAAAAAATAATGGATTGTAATTATTTTAAAAGATCCTCGGAAACCCTGGATTATTTCTGTATGTTTTGCTGCTTTGAATTTAATCATCTCGTGCATGCTCTCTACCATCTCCAAGGGACTCAGAGGGGAGCGGACAGGAGCCACAGTGGAGGCTGTAGGCTTTGAGGAGCTGGAGCGCAGCGGGGCGGAGTATGTGGGATTTCGGGATTAGCATGACATGTTGGTCATGTTGCTGTTAGCAGACCTATAAAGTGCTGCTGGCGCGTCTTCCAACTCCTGTTCTTTCCCACTCGCCTCAGACACAATTCTCCACAACTGATTTTTTTCCCTGCTACACCCGGCTAAGCTGCTTCGCTTCTTCTTCTTCTTCTTGTTTACTACTGGTGGTTGGCTTTGGTCACAGTACCGCCACCTTCTGCTCTGGAGTGTAAATGCTTCGCCTATGAGAAAAAGGAGCAGCGCATGAACCGAACGAAACACATGCGAATCGAACCAAGACAGTCGAACCGAACGGTTCGGACGGTTTTCATAAATCGTCCCATCCCTAATACCTATAACAGAGGCAGTGGAAACAGTCAGGGCAGGTCTTCAACAAGATAGTGACTTAAACAACAGGACTAATTTTACTCCGGACCAGATCTGCACGCTACTGGGGCTTGTTTTTCCACAACCTATTTCAAATTCAGAGATTTTTTTTACAATTGTAGCCAATCTTTACTTGGAAGAAATAGAAAAGAGAGCATTAGACACTTTCAATGGAACACCACCACCATCTATGGTTTAGATATGTGAATGACAAATTCTTCAAAATACAGCTAAAAGAAGTGTAAGCTTTCACAAGACACATCAACACTGTTGACCACAACATCAAATTCACCAGAGAGGATGCAGAGGACAACAAACTACCTTTGACTACCTGGACTGTTTGGTCAGAATGGAAGGAGATAGAAGGCTAAACATTGAAGTGTATAGGAAACCTACACACACAGACCAGTAACTTCTTTTTGACTCACACCATCCACTGGAACACAAACTTTCAGTCATCAGAACCTTACAACATTGTGCTGAGCATGCCCCTACTAAAACAGAGGGGAAACACAAAGAACAGAAACACATCAAAGATGCTCTCCAAACCTGTGGATACCCAAACTGGGCAATTATCAAATCAGCAAGGAAATCCAAAAGATACGCAGCAGAAGAGAGCGGTGAAAAAATGAAACGCAAAAACATCACAATCCCTTATGTTGCTGGAGTCTCTGAAAAACTCAAGAGGATTTTCTCCAAACACAAAATCCCACTTCATTTCAAACCAAACAAAACCCTTAAACAGAGGCTAGTGCACTCTAAAGATAAAACCCCCAGACCCAATATGAGCGGAGTGGTATATGCTGTTCAGTGCAACGAGGAATGCTCCAATCTTTATATTGGAGAAACCAAACAACCTCTCCCCAGACGCATGGCCCAACACAGAAGGGTGGCCTCCTCTGGACAAGACTCTGCAGTACATCTACACCTTGTGGACAAAGGACATTCTTTTGAGGACCAGAATGTTGACATTTTGGATAAAGAAATAATATGATTATTAATTTCAAAGTACAAGATTGAGACATCTTAATGTATACCTGCATCACCAAACACATCTGGATGAAATGTGTTTAAGAATGGCCCCAAGTACAAGCGAAGAAAGTGGTGAGAAAATTTAAAAACTTAAAAAATAAGAAACGCTTAACTTTTTGAACTGTATTCCTGTAACGCAGCAGCCTGTGCTGACGAGTTTAGAGTCTTGAAACAGATGCTGATGAAGGTTCTCAGTCATCCAGGTCATAGTCATTCCGTAAAAATTCAAAAAATATCCACTGGACTTGGTTTTCAAGATTTGAAGACATTTCGCCACCTCTCCAGGAAGCTTTCTCAATTCAAATGTCTGGATCCGCAGTGAGTTTGAGTCTTATATGGGCAAGGCCTTGTATTGCTCGGAAACATGCAAATGGTAACCGATGAATGGGTCGTTTAGTTCCATCATTAGCCTGTAATATCTGAAACCGTCTATGATTCTAGGGGTCGGTCGTTAAAGGGGGGATTGCCGTTAAGGGGGGGATTGTGTCCTGTAATACCTGAAACCTGTCTATGATTGTTAAGAGTTGGTCGTTAAGGAGGTATTGTTCACCGGCTGGAGCGGGTAGGTCCCTCGTTCTTCTGAGATGAGACAAACCCCCCACCCCATCTCAGAGGAACGAGGGACCTACCCGCTAGATTTGACCAATCAGATGCCTCGTGTCTGCGGCACTGTCTGCGGTCACCTACAATTTCGGAGAGGTGCAGCAGAGTGTCTTTGGAGGGGGCAGGGACTTTGCCTTCACTGCAACACCTATGCAGGCAACCTAGTTTTTCCTGTCATTGTGGCTACATGCATGCTTTATGTACAGGATTGCAGCAAACTTTTCAACACATTGCAAAAATATTTCTTCTGTTGCTACATGCAACAGGAAGGGCAGATCCTGCAATGTCAGTGACTCAATGTAATCAGCTGGATTTCTTTAGAAAGAAAACTTATAACAATCTTTCTTTATAATTTTAATGAACAGTATTTGTAGACTGCCTTGAGATGAAATGTGTTGCCACCTAATAAAT